CATTGAAATTGGAACGGCTCTGACGATTTTTCATAAATTAGAAATATCGGTAATCTGTAAAAAAAAAAGTTTTGTTTAGTTTATATCTATTGAGAGCGCCCCTCCCCCCTTCCACGTGTAATTGAACACATGGTAGAGAATATGTATAAAAGTATATCTTTTGACCAAATTTAAGACATTTTAGCTCTAAAGAATAAGATAAATATCGGTGTTTCTTTTTTTTAAAAAAACTCGCTTGCAATATAGCGCAGGTCACCCTATCAAAATAGCAACACATTACAGGTCAATAGTCTGGCCAAACAGACTAGGATTTACAGATTTAATGCAGAGATTTACTTTAAAAATTATTTAAAAAACTTAAAAGGCAGTTTCTTTCTGTCTTATGAGATCTATTATATTAATTATAATTAAATAAGATATTAATTTTAACAATCATTATAATAAATTCAAGTGTTTTTTTAGAATAATTAGAATCAGCTGATAAAACCTAAAATACAATTTCCAATAAAAACTTGATTGAAGGAGAGGGATGATAAATTAGCATATGCGATCATAAATATAAAACCAGCCGGGTTTTTAGAAAATTCTATTAAATGAAACGTTTCTATGTGTAATCAATTAAAACCAACCCATCGAATTTTCAATTTAATGTATATACGATTGCCATTTATAATTTGCTGCTTTCTAAATTGCTTGAAACATCCTAATTCACTAAATCTAGCCACGAAATGCTGTAAAATAAACTCCACGATAACCAATTGCATATGCAAATTTGGGTTCGAGGAATACAAGCGCATGCAGTATTTCGAATGTCAAATTACAAACACCCTGACGTTCCCAACAACTGCTACGAATTTAAAAAAATATCCATATATTTATGTTTTGGCCATTGTCAATACTACAAATTTAGGCCTTTTGAGTAATAAAATATTAATTTCTGCTGGCGAAAATGTTTTAGAACTGTATTTAAATCATACAGGAATAACATCTTTGGCTGAAGCGACATTTCAGAATTATGAAAATCTAACAACATTGGATTTGAGTTACAACAATATACCTATTTTATTCGAAAAGGCATTTAAAGGTCTATCCTCTTTAACATTTTTAAATCTCAAGAATGTCAACATAAAAAGCATTGAACATCTAGTGCGTTTGATATCCTACCTTAATTTTCAAATTAATTCAACCATCAAAATTTATTCAGATTCGAATCCATTTGTGTGCAATTGTATGGGATTGCAATCGATATGCATGTATATTGAAACTATGAAGAATATCAAACGGTATCGTAACTCACCTGAAGATATAATCAATGACTTTTACACAAGTCTGATATCATCTAATTGCATTATGCCTGAAAATTCTCTTTGTATGTCTCTGTATCACTGGTTGAAAGGACAAAAAAGTAACAATCTATCATGTTCTAAAAATTTAAAAAATTTTACCATGAATTTGACCCAATGTATTATTACGTTAGACACTTCAAAGATTAAATTAAGCGATTCTAAAGGAATGTTGTTGGCCTATTGCGTGCAAGAGAAGAAATTAAATCTCAAAGATAATTTATCTCTTATACAAATAGCAGACACTTTTGAAAAAAAATCTTTATTCATGAATTCGATTGGTCGAGAGAATAATATGTGCACAAAAGAGAATATCCTAAAAGAAAAAACCATTAATACCAAGCCAGACTATTTATCCATCATCGAAAACTTTACCAGTCCTATTACCAAGATGAAAACCATTTTTACCAAACCAGACTATGTATCCATCATCGAAAACTCTACCACCCCCTTTGTTCGTAAAATGAAAACCATTCTACTTACCGCCAGATTAAACACCACTAACGGTAGCAATGTTTCAATGACGTCAATAAAATATATTCCGATTGAAAATTACACAAATAAGAGATTATCTTCACCACTGAGCTCATTTATCAATAGGTTAAATGTCACAAATAGGTTAAACCTAAAGGTCACAAATAGGTTAAACCTAAAGGTCACAAATAGGTATAATACAAATATTTCGAACACTTATAGCAGTGTAACGTTTGATAACGAAAAGGATACTTCCACACTTGAGGTTGAACATATGGCTGATAACCAAAAAGTAGTGGAAAAAAGACTTTTGGGGCCTAAGGGAATAATAATTCCCTTATCCTCTTTTATCCTGGGTTTAATTTTACCATTATCGTGCTTTTATCTATACGTTTGGGTCAATGATCATAATAAGGTCACGCATCCCACTCGCAATCCCACCCTTAATTCCTTACACAGAAAATCGAAAAAATATTAAATAGGAAAAATAGATTTTATCGCTAATATTTTAATGTTTTAATCGTGATTGACTGCTATATTTTTGAAACATTTCTTGACTAAGTAAATAATACATTTGTCTCAATATGATATAAATGAAATAGAATGGATTCATACGATGTAATTTAACAAAACGTCTAAGATATTTATTACTTGTAAAGGGCACTTGTGGAGACCATGATTTTTGATTAAATTAAACTAATCCCGGAATTATCAAGGTGTTGCGTTTATATATTTTTTAGAAACCTTCAAAAAATTACTGTAGATAGAAATTCGAAAATTTCTCTTTCCCAATCTCACAGGATTTTCTTCATAAGTTTTTTTTTAAGATGTTGTGATTATATTTTTTTTTAGGAATCTTTTTTCTTGCGTTTGAGATTTTTGTAGTTTGTATCGTTTATAATATTATTTTTAGTTTCCATGTCATTCACTGGATACTAGAAGTGAGAGCGGTTCATGAAAATTTCCGCGACACGGTGGGTCACGTGAGTGTAAATGAATTTTCAATTTCGAGCCATAATTGGGCGTGAATAGAAATATTTAGCGAATCAAAAAATGGCAAAAATGATCCAATACGCGTATTTTTGTTCGCACAATTTATTTTCACGTGAAATGCTGTAAACTTTATTTTTCGCTTGTTTTTAATTTAATTTTTTAATATCTAAGCATTTTATTACGCTGTCAAAAACATCTAAAAATTTTATCCTAAAAACAGTAAATAAGCCCCCTTTTTAAATTGAAAAATAAATATGTGGTCAATATAGCTTTAAAGTTTTAAACTTGGGTTTTGACGTAACCTTATGAATAAATATTCTTAAGTATTTTAAACTTTTCTATTATATTCTTTTAACTTGGAACATAATTTTTATCGTGCAAATGCGTTCTCATATATTTTTTGGAATATCCCAACTTACCATCTACATCATATAGAAAATAGAATTAATGTGTATATTTTATTTATAGTAAATATATTTGTATACAGAATTTGTAATCTGAACGAAAAGGGGTTCTGGTTTATAATATTTTTAAAAAAGTCGTTCTGGTTCCGGTTCCTAAAATTTTTAAAGAGTAGGTTCTATTTTCGGTTCCTAAATTTGATGCAATTCCAAGGGTTCCCGTTTCTGGTTCCAAATTCTGATTATATATTGGAATAAAATATATGAATTTTATTGTTAATGATGATGTTATATTGAATAATTTATTATTTAATTCAGTGTTTAGGCCTGCCATACGTCCCGCTAAATGAATTTATATTCCGAGGAAAAAAAACAAAACTAAATATTTCGAGAATGTCCTGCTAAATGTCCTAAAATCCCCCAAAACACTAAAAATCATAAAATTTTATAAGATGCCATTCAGGCAACTAAGTATGTTGCCTGTGAGAGATTACAAGATGACTGATACTATAAAATAATCTATATTAAATTACAAGAGGAACAGGAAATAAGGGAATTATCATAGACGAGTCGAATAGAAAATCTGGTGATTCACCCACACCTTTTACGACAAATGGGAAGATTAGATCATTTGAAAGTTATTATTTATGGATTTCATATTCGCTGAAAATCGATCCATAAAATGCAGAATAGGCAAATATTTTTTTTAAAAAAACCAAAGCTGTAGAAAAAATTGATATACTCTTGCCGAAAATTTTTTTTAAAGAAATTTGGACAAAAAATTCTTTTAAATATAATTCGGGACTGGCACATTTTTTTCGGTGCAAATAATACTTTTGCAGGTCTCTGATCTCCATATTCAATTATGAGATAAAAATTTGTCTAATCTGCAAATAAGGCCCCCCGTTAGCATGCCGGTCAAAGTCCTCCTTCTTCTCTCACTCGGTCGAAGGCTCCCCATTCCCTTCTCATTTCTTGGAATAGGTCATTTCTTCCCCGGCAACAAAAAATCCCCGGCGAAACGTTAGTTTTAAATAATTTCGGACATTACGAAGCAAATGAATGTTAAATAATCCATTTTATTTATTAATATAATTTAAATTTATTTAGTCCTGGTCAGGGTTTTGGATAAAAAACATTAGGCCTCCTGTAGGATTAGTAAAATTTTTAGGTTTTAAAAATAATACTATTTTTCGGTCTGCTGGATTCTTTAATAAAATCTTCAATTTCCTTATCATTGAAAACTAAAATTTTTATTAATAGTATAGTGATACCTAAATTATTAATAGCTTAGTTTATATTCTAAAAAGGTTCGACTTTTAGTATTTCTTTTTACAGTGATCTCTGTTTAGAATTTGAGGTTTCGGTTTTTATAGTTTTCCCCGCTTTTTTTGTTTGTTTTGATATTTATATAATTTGGGGTTGTATCGTTTCCTCTTTTTTAGAATTCAGAAGAAAAATAATAATTCAAAAAAATATAATCATCAAAATAAGTAAAAAAATAATAAAAATCAAAACTAAAAAAATAAAAACTGAAAAGTCACTTTTCTTTTTTTCGCGTCTTCATATTTGTAAAAAAATAAATACGTAACAATAATTAAAATATACTAAATAAATAATCATAAAAATAAAATATTAATCATAACAAATAAAGATTTTGAACAAAAAAATCATCATGATGAATAGACAATTTCCTTACTTTGTTAGCACATAGAATAATAAATATTTTATAAGTTCAGGACATTTTTTTAAAAATATTCTAAAATCGTCTCTTGAATTTACTCATGTGTATAGAATTTAATTTTATTCAGAAACTAATCAGGGCATAGAATATATATATAATTGTATATATATATATACTTAACAATCTGATATTTAATACAGAAATTAATTTAAATATTATATTATAATAATAATTATAAATATTTTGCAGATTAGAAGTTATAAATTTATTCGATAGTAAAAAAGAAATAGTAAAGTCTTCATCTTCAATTTAAGGTATAATTTTTCTGTTTCCCTCCAATAATCCTAATAGTAGACGCTGATATGTCCCGGAAGATTCTTTCTGTTAGAAATAAATTTTTTAAATATATTAAACGAAAAATTGAACCAAAGAAATTTTCCATTCAATAAAAAAGTTAAAAGAAAAATCATTATAAAAGAAATTTATCCCCGAGTTAATGACTTAAAAGTGAGAGATTCTAAATTAATTCCATATTCCAATATGGCATAATGCAATTCCACCAAATTTTTCATCGTTTTATAAAGTATTAACTTTTTTTAAATTTTTTTCCTATTCTGTTTCTTAACTGTTCAAAAAAACCTGCTTCTGGTCGATTTTTAAAAAGGCCTGATTAAAATTTTGACCAAAATAATATTATATAAGCTTCGAAATTTTGCAAATAGAGGTTCAAACCTTTCTACCATAAAAATCTTCAGGCTTACATAAATATTATTTTGGCGAAAATCTTAATCGGGACTTTTTATCGAGTTTTTAACACTAGTTCAACTGTATATTTATCAAAGACGATATAATTATAAACTATTGCCTTGAGTTTAAATCTTATTTAGGTTAAATAATATTTTAACAGACAGGGCCTATAAGACGATGTTTTTTTAAAAAAGTTGATACTTGTTCAAAATATTGTCTTTTTATAGTTAAAAATTTTTATAGAATACTATAATGAAATATAAAATATTTCTTACATTTTTTAATTGACAAACCTTCAGTAAAAGAAATTAATAAACAAACATTATTCAGCAGATTTTGAAAAATTTTCCCTTTTTTAAATATCAACTTGCTATAAATGGAAACTTTATAATAGCGGTTGTTTGGAAACTTCTATCAATAGAGACATTCATTCTTTCCTATGAGTTTTAAAAATATTCTTCAAAATATTTTAGAGCAAAAATCTTTTAAATTTGTTATTTCCTCTTAAAATTTTTTTAATGAATAAAAATTACAAAAGATTTACTTATAAAAGATTTTTTTACAAAAAGTAGTTGAAATTTATATATAAAATTTGATCAAAATCTTACTTCTTTGAAAGAAGTAAGATCTATAAAAAAATGTATTGCTCAAATTTTTTTGATATTTAGATTTTCTTTAGCTACATAATAAATTTTTTAAAAATCATAATAATTTTATTCAAAAAGCAATTTCTTTTATTCAGCTTATTTAGGTGTGAAAAAGCCACGATGTTCTTGAAAAAACACCATGTGACTTAAACTCCTTTTATTGTATTAAATATCCGTATATTTATTAGGGAGAAAAACATTTTCAAATAATACTTTCAATCTCGTTGGTAAATCTTGTGATGTCAGGGTCTTAAATTCATTCTTAATATCTTCCAAATCTATCTCACTTCGAGCGATCAATGTTCTAAACATTTTTTTGTCGCTGGTGCCTCCGCCCTTTTGGTATATATTTGTACATATAGTTATTTATGCTAACATTTAAAATATATAATAATTTTTGAAACATAAATATTATTAAAATAAAATCAGAGATCTACAGAGTTTTACTGCCGGCTCTGATTTTTTTTTTAAAAATTGTCATTTTTACAGAAGGGAGAACCGGGCCCTAAATTGTTAAAATTTCTATTTTGAATAAATTTTGCTGTATTTTTTATTGTTTTAATTCAAATCAAAAGGGAAATTGCAAATATGAGCAGTAAATGGTATTAAACGCGGCATCATATGTAAAAAATTTTGCGTATGCCCCCCCCCCTCCAATTTTTTAAAAAAATTTTTAAGTTAGATTTTTTAGTTATTCTTATTGCAAAATTTTAAAACTGAATAAAATCAGGTACAAATAGATCAACATTTAGTGTTGTTAAAAAGCCCGATTCGGGTCGATTTAAAAAACGGCCCGATCTATATTATAATTAAAAAAATATTATGTAAGTCTGGAGATTTTGCTCATAGATGGCAGAAAGGTTTGGACATCTATTTGCAAAATGACGAGGCTTCCATGATATCATTCTGAAAAAGAAGATTTCCTTTTAAGCTATATAAATAAGAATAGGTTGAATAATTAATTGAAGCGGGTGCAGTTTTTTTTTACCATCCTTGTAATATCTATAACTTAAACAATAGTGAATCAATCTATACCAAAACGGATTTTCCCAACTATTATAATTGCAGAATAGATAAAAGAAGAGGATCTTAAGATTAATAGGTTTTACCAATTTTTTTGTATAAACTAATTAGGAAATTGAAAATAAAACGTAAATCAAGTTAGCCATTTTAATTTTCTAGACATACAAAATTAAAATTTTAATTGGCAACCAATATTAATGAAGAGGGATTCGTAATTGAAATCAAAATTGTTAAAAAATTATATATTAAAAGTTTAAAAAATTATAAATGTGTTACATTATATTTTGTCAACAAAAATGCATTTCCAAATTTTTTCCAATATTCTGTATCAGTTTAAATCATCCATAGAGTTTGAGTTAACTTTTTGACCGTTAAAAAGAATTATTAAATCAGATAAACGTTAGAGTAGTGATATAAGAAATGGTAACTTGGTTTTATTAGGAGATGGGAAAAACATAACCGAAATAATTTTGGAAATGTTTTCTAGGTATTTTAAAAATACATCTCAACCAAAATTATTTTGTTAATAATTTATTTTTGTTAGTTTTACACTGTTTAATAATCATAATATCAAATGTAATATAGTTATAATAAATATTTTCTAAATTACATATTTAATGATTGAATCCCTAACATATATTATACAAGCACAATTAAACTATATCAACATTATTATAAATATTTGTAAAATCATTAAATCAACTTATTTCTTTCTAGCTTTAAGTCAATTCTTATCTTCCATCTAATTTTATAAACATATTTGATCATTTAATATTTTTATATATTGTTTTTCAAATAAAATCTATATTTCAATTTTGTGTAAATAACTTAATTCGTTCTATGGTGTTAAAAAAATTTCTTAACTGCCCCTCTAAAATTTTTTCCTGCCCCCTCCTCAAATGGGTGAAGCTTAAATCGGGCCTGTTCAAACCTTTGATCTATGGGCAAAATTTTTAGGTTTGCTCTGGATAAAATATTAAGTTAGCCGCTTATAAAACTCAAATCGAACCATTTAACAACACTAGATATCATTTATACCAATTCTTCTAAAAATGTACATATCAGATTTTGTCTAAAAATTTTTTTTTTAGATTCGGCCCTGATTTATTTTTCAAAATACTTTTTACTCCAGGTTCGCAGGTCTCTGAATAAATAAGAACCCTTCTGAAAAATATCCAAAAATCATAATTTTTTTTAAAAAAATGACAAACTTTAATAGCGTCGTTAATTTGCTTGGCATAGAATTTTGGAGGAGAATTGTAGCATTCAACTTTTTATTTATTTAAATATTAAAATAAGTGATATAATACCTTATCAGCTAAATAAGAAGAAAAGAAATTAGCTTATCCCTAACCGTATTATGATGTTTATAAGATATCTTATCAATAACCATTTAAAATCAATAGCTATAAAAAAAATTGATTTCTCGAAATTTCTAATTTTATAAGTTACGTAAATTTTTGACAGTCCTAATCGCTTTGCCTTGATTAGTGATAGCGCCGGATAAATCTTGATCTAATATGCTTCTTAATGGATTATTAGTCAGCTTTTGGTATTCAGCGAGTACTTGTTGAATGTGATCCTTGCTTCTGGTTGTCAAAACTCGATAGAGTGCGTTGTTGGGCTTTAAATGCTTAAGATCTGTAGCCATGATTTCCTAATAAAATTATGAAGATTGTTTTTATTTTTGAACCCTGCAGAGGCCAAATATTCGGTTAGGTTCCTCGATTTAAAAAATTCACTCTTATTTAAGCCAAGTCCGGCACAGATTTTTCAAATTAAATTAGGATATTTTTAAATAATTTCGGTTTTGTTAGTGGTTTTAAAGGTAAATACAAGAAGAGGATAAATGTTAAGAAAATGGCTCATCCAGCTATTCTTTAACTGGTTAATTAATATAATATAAATTTTTATAAAAAATTGGGCTAGGCTAGGGAAATGCAACTTTTTGTGAGCCAGTCAGGTTTTGTTAATTATATTTTTTTTAATTAAAGACCAGGTCTGGGAGGAGATTTGAAACTTATCAATTATATTTTTCAAAAAAAATATAAAATCCCTAAAAAAAAATAAAATTACTTTAGCATCTTTTTCAACTTCGCCAGGTTTTATAGCGTTTTCTCTTTCGCTCTAAATAAATTTATTAAATATAGCATAATTATAATTTAAAAAATTATATAATATTTATTACGTTGATTAGTTGTTGGAATAAACTCCAAACGGGCTCAGAAGTATCCCCTTTAATGGCAGTCTCAAGAGATTTCTTGTATTCTAAAAAAAATAATAATTAATTTTCAATGAAAATTACTAAAATAATCTGCCAAAAATTAAAATTAAAAAATATTGGTCCTTTACAAATAAAATTTATCTAAAATAAATAAAATATTCAAAAATATTTTATTACTTCGTTGATAGGCTTCCTTAATTTTCTTGATTTGACCGCTATCTTTAGAACAAAGCACACCAGTCATCGAATCGAGATCAGTTCCAGCACCCTATATTCATTTTAAAATGCCTATTTTAAATGCAAATCAAAAAAGTAGTATTCACTTTCATGGAAGAATATAAAATTTGAGCATCGTAATCTATCGGAGGCACCAACAGGTCTTTCAGCATCTCTAATGCGTGGAAAGAAAATTCCCATTTAAACTTGTAACCCAAATCCTAGAATTTCCAAAAAAAATAATTAATATTGAAAATAATTAACAATTATATAATCTAAAATTACTTTTCCATAAAGGTCCTTGTAAACTTTGGCGATAATTTGTCTATCCGAATTAGATCTAGCGGTCATGACATTAACTACAGTTACTTCATTTGTACCTATATTAATTGATTTAAAATTCAAGAATATAGAGTAAAAAATTTAAACCTATTCCTTTCATAGCCTGTCTTAAACTCACCGCATCTGCAGTGGCATTTAAGCCAGGAACATTCTTGATAGTTCCACCAAAATGGGTAGCAATAGCTGTAGAAGCTGGTCTATAGGGCGTTCTTGAAGCCTTCGATTTAAAAAAACATCATATTTAATATAAAATAATTATATCTTTATTTATCAATTAATACAAGTCAACACAAAATTTATATAAGAAAAAAAATAAAATAATATAAAGGTGAAATATAGTGTAAAATGATAAGAATAAGGAGGAAAAAGGGAATTTAGTGAAGGCCTGTGTAGAGAAGACTGCCATTGAAACTTATTCGTTTTAAAAACAGCTATAGCCATTCTGAGGAAAAGGCATTCTGGCGGATCGCCTGTATGCTTGCTGATGATCCTAAATCCTTGAAGATGGATAATGCAAGCTTATCAAAGAAAGTTAAGGTAGTGGATATTATTGGGATAAAGATGTGATATTCTGATATTTCCTAATATTTGAAAATTTTGTGTTGTTCTTTTTGCTCAAGTAGGTTTGGAGTTTGATTGGATAAAGCTGACGGATCTATATAAGAATAATCCCAAACCAGAAATTGGCCCCGCTTCCATGAGATCAGGGTGATTCCGTCAGGTCGCTTTATATCGGATCTAAAATGTCCTGGTAGTTCAAGTATAGAGAGTATTTGGACAGATTTCAATGCTCGCTGGATCAAGGAATTGCATGAGAGTACCTGAGAATTCGTCCTTTGCACGATCTGCAATGTAAGCTTCCTTTGTAGGGAATTCTGCAGCCAGAGCAGAATGAGGAAAGGTTATTATACAATTTAGGCGGATTCCTATTGCGTGGGATAGCTCATTGTTGGTTAGTTGGAGTTGAAGATTTTTGAGAAAAATAACTTCCAAAAATTCAGGCCTGGATCCATTAATTAAAGAAGTGAAGAGAGACTGGTCTGTTCGTAGGATGCTACAACTGGCTTGTCCCAATCCTTCTGTCAATTGGATTTGATTCGGGAGATGGGGCATCATCAACGTGTGTCCTCTAGAGCAGGATCTAAGGAAAATCATTTTGTTGGGTGTGAGACCTGATTGTGGGTTTCGAAAGTAGACTGCTCGAATTAAAGTGAGAGCAAGATCGGTGAGAGATCTAACCCTTAAACCACCACTTTTGGTGGATAATGAAGCTTTAGGCCATGCTATTTCATTGAATATTTGATTCAAAATATTTTCGAATTCCTTTTTTTATAATGAGAGGAGGACATCTAAAATATAGGCGTTGAGCGCACAGCAAAAAGTGTTAGTGGAATGTTAAAGAAGTTTTGCGAAATTCAAGGAGGTCACCAAGCTTAAGAAGGATATCAAGAGTAAAGTGGAGGAAGGCACTGATTGCTATGAATCCGCCTACTTGGGAACCTAGATGTGTTAGCTCCTCCTTGGAGGTCATCTTGAAATTGTGGGGGTTTTGATTGGAGAAATTTACTTACACAAATTTGAATTTTATGGGGTTGAGAAAAAGACCAACAGCCCATTTTTTTGTACCGCCTTATGGTTTCCAATTGAGTTCCACTAATGATTCCGTCTATATACCAGTCGTGGAGTGAAAGTGAACATTTTTGATTAATGGTTTAAATTATATTATTGATTGCAAGACAAACTATTAGTGGATCATCTTGATGGGTGCCCTCGGCTGAGTATTTTTTTGAGAGTTGAATTGCAAAATTGGAAATTGGTAACAAGAATAGAGAAATTTGGTGTAGCATGAGAATGATGTGCAGGTGCACACTGATTGCAAAATGAGTTACGAAAGAGGGTGTTGTACGCATTAGCAAAATCAATTTTGATAAATGTTTCATTCGTGAGATTGCTCTCCAAATAAAGACGAGTAAGATGTACAGCAGCCTCATATCCATAAATGACTCCTAACCCTAATTGAAATGGAATGGGAAGGTGAGAGACCTCATGTTTTATTCTGGATGTAATTATTTTAGTAACAAGGCGGCGGAACGATGAACCAATGGCTATTGGTCTGATATCTTTGTTAGGCTTCTGTAAGACTATAAGTCTGGCCTCAAAAAATGGCGGAGGCAAAGGGAACATCTACATATAAGATTCGATTGCACAAGTTTGTGATATTATGAAGGATGAAAGTTTGCGAGCTGATCAATGGAGAAGTTGTTTTCTGGAGGAATATGGGTCTGATTCCATCTAGGTCGCAGCAAAGTCTCGGTGGAAATATACTTCCTTACTTTGTCTGAGGTGAAATTGGAAACAAATGAGAATAAGGTTGTTAAGCGATTGGCGCTGAAGTGGAAGAAAGGAGTTTTGAGTTATGTCTCATCTGAGTGGACATTTAGTGAATTATAAGAAGAGACCAATTTGAGAGTATTTTTAATATTTAAACAGTCGATTTTCTTTGAAATAAGTTTGGCTTTAAATGAGGGGCCCTTAAACTCTTGGAGAGGGGGAAAAACGTTGCAGGAGGCTTCATTAATTTGTGAGTTAAAGAAATTCTTGATGGTTTATCAGTTAACCTAAGTTATCATAACCAAAGAATTAGAATTTAAGCCATTCCGCTCACTGTTATAGCTTTGAGAGGACAATCAGATAGAGACTTAGAGACTTGTAACCTAGCACCTTTGGAAATTCTTGATATGATGTTAGGTTTTCTGGTATTGAAGAATAGGTCTGAGTAAGATATATTAGAAGCGTGATTTAAAGGGGGTTTTATGAAAGGGCTGGGAAGCGGGGAAGTATTCTGGATGAGAGTGAAAGTCTTGAAGAGGGCACCTGTTAATGATTGGTCCATGAACATAAAATACACCATATGATGTATATGTTTTAGAAAGACATATTTGAGTTCAAGGATAGCCATTGTTATAATATCATAACGCGGTATGAATAAAGCAAAAGCTAATGCCAAACATTAGAATGTAAAGCAAGTAATTTGAGTGAATGGTGCGACTACTTGTAAGAAAAATGAATTAATGCGATAATGAATGAATTTAAAGATATATCCTGATGCAAAAAAATTGATAAAAAGAAGCGCGAATGAATAACGCGAATACGAAGCGTTTTAAATAAGGGAAATAAAGTCATGTTATGGGTAGGCGATAATAAAGGCCTGAACTGGCAAATAGGTTAAATATATTAAATGAATGAGTCAAGATATATGAAGTGGCGATAATGAATACTGTGAAAAATGATGCGAGATTAAAATATAAAAATTTTAAAAAAAAATAGAAACAATGCGAGCGAATAAAATTGAGATTAGAGAGGCGCGAATCATTAATAAATTTTTAATTTTGCGCCACAAAATCAATAGACCAGATGGATTATATAAGAAAAAATTAAATCGCGCGATAATTAATTTAGCGATAAAAAAATGGTGTTTAATATTAACGGGTTTTATTTTAAAAAAAAATGAACTCTGATACGAAAACGGAATAGCTCCAAAATTAACTAAAATGAAGCGAAATATTGTAAAGTTTTAATATATAAAAGATAAGCTATAAGAGCGCTAGATTAAAACTGAATTGCCAAATATAAAAGAAGGATTATTGGAATTAAGAGAAAAAATAAATACACAATACTTCTTGTGAGAAGTTTGTGAATTGATATGCAAAAATGGCAAATGAAATATCAAGCAAAGCGCGAGAAAGATCAGTATGAGAGGTTTCTAGATATTATTTTTAAAAAATGTGAACCTTGAACTATATCAATGATCTATTTTAATTAATGTAAAAAAAATGATTATTTATTAAATTCGTTTGATAATTTTCAATTAATTTTAATACACTTAACTATACAACGACACATCAAATCAAGATCTAAAATTAAACATTCACAAGTAAAATGAATATACGATAGCACAAGCGGTATAATAAGACATCTAATCAGTAAATAAAAAAAAAATCTTTTCCCTTAAAAATCGTAAAATTAAACAACCAGTCTTGGTGGTTGTTGATATGCTTTACAAAAATGTGTAAACCTTCGCCTAAAAATCAAAAAAAAAATATAGGTTATTCTGGGCTCGTTGTAAAAAATATAATATAAATTAATGTTTCCCGAATTACGATTTAAAAAAAATATTTAAATCTATTTTCGAATTAATAAAATTTGGGTGTTGGTTAGGCTCGCATTTAAAAATAAAATTTGAATGTCCAGACTTGAGCCCGAAAATCTGGAATGGGCGATGGGCCAAAAAATTTGAAGTCATAAAGGTCTAGATCGGACCCAAAGACATTCATTTTTTCATGAATATTTTTTTGACAAAATTATAAATCGATAAAATCTAATTTAAAAAAAATTATATAATATCTTTATTTTCTAACCTCTTGAGCATCGTAGAATTGTAGACAGAGTATATTTGATAAAATAACTGCGATCGTGATTCTCATGCTAAAATGCTTTTTTTAAAATAATTATTCGATTTTTAAATAGATCATAAAAAAATTAATTTAATTAGCTATCATTTCAATATTAAATAGAGGTATTAAGTTACGAAAACTTGTTATATAATTTTAAAACTTACATCTAGCTACCATAATCTATTATGAATAAATTTTATTTTTATTTATCCAAATCCTGCCAAAAATTAAAATTATTTATAACAGATTCAAGGATAATAGTGAAACTAAAAGAAGAGCATAATTATGAAAAAAAATGACAAATGGTTCGAAATAATTATAAAAAAAATTATCTTTATTTTGTTGCAAAAATTATCTTTATTTTGTTGCAATTTTTTTTTAAAAAATGTTATTTTTCAATTGGACTAGATTTCTCGATCAAACCATATTCAGATTCACAAAATCATTCATCGGACATGTTATTTGGTCGATCCAGATCTTAATTTTGATATTTCCAATCTAATAAAGTCAAAATTTCAGGCCCGGCCAGAATTTTATAAAATTTCTTTTCTCCAGACCGGTTCGGCTTGAAAAAAAATATGGGCCAGCCTGATTTAAAAAAAAATTAATCAGTTGGAAAATCAAAAGCATCAGCATTTAATATTTATTTACTGCTCATATTTTCTATTTTATCGTTAAAATAATTGGTAAAATACAGTCAACGAAATTTTAAAAATTTCGGACCGGACTGAATATTGATCATAAATAAAAATTCGGGCCCTGCTAAAACACTTCTCAAAAAAATCTCCGGTTGGGCGTGAAGATAAAAATTTTAATCCTATATTTTTAAAATATATTTTGGGGATGACATATTTCTAAAATAAGAGTACAGTGATGACCCAAATTCTTGGAGAAAAAAAAACAATAGTAGGAAAAATTTTTTTTCTTGAGTTGGACCATAAACATATTTGTGCTGATCGATATCAAATTTACTCCGTTTCGTTGAAACTAAAAATAAATGAAATCCAATGAGTTAATATTCGTAGTCTTGAGTGTACTAAAGAATAAATCTTTTCAGAGTTTGACAAATTTTTTGAGCAAAAATGTATTTTTTAACATTTTTAATTTCACCTTGAAAGAATTTTAATGCATGAAAATTAAAAAAATTTCACTTATAAAAGATTTTTTAGAAAGGCTTCTGGCATTTTTAGGTAAAATTGGATCAAAAATCTCTCTCTAAAAATAAATCAAAATATTTTGAAGATTTTTTTCAAGCTTTGATTCTCTGTTATTAATAAAAAAAATAGATTAAATTTTATTTTAGAAGAGAAAGGGGTTTTTTATTTGTAGATTTGGATATTTTAAATTTAATCTATCATTTTCGTATCACGTCAATACCGCGAATATTTTAACGCGAAATGTATTATCGCGAATGCATTACCGCGAATGTTGATTCCCGCGAAAAGTAATTATAGAGAATTCATTACCGTGAATGACTTTTACGAATGCATCATAGCAAAAATAGTATCACGAATAGCGAATGCATTATAGCGAATGAATTATCGCGAATACATTAAGTATTAAAATTCTTTGCTACCACTTACTTTATAATAAGGAGTTCATCATTAATATGTATATTTTTTAAATATGTTACCTTTTAGAAGTTCCTGGTCGATAATATTTTCCACCGGATCTTTGTTCTATAAAGAAATTCTTTAGACTCTCTAATTATATTGTAATTCATTTAGAAAGTTCAGACCTTTTTAAAAAACCAGAGAACCAGCCTAATTGACGTTTCTATAATTATTTAACGTAGCGTTAGTTGACATAATTTTATTAATTTTAGGTTCTATAGACCAAATTTTATCATCAGACTTTGTATATCGATAAAAAATTTAATTTAACATATAGGGATTTTATTTATTGATACCAATTTGTTTAAATATGGTGTCCATAGACATATGCTTGTATTTCATCATATGATTACAACAAACTTTGTGTCATGATATACACTAATTTCCATCGCATTGTAATGTCTTTCTTTAGAAAATGTCGAAGCCTTTGCAGCAGATTGCTTACAATATTTTATTAACTCTTTTACACTTGGAAGATGTTATCAAACGATTTTACATCATATATTATAACACTCTCCCCTTCTTCCCCCACTCCCTTCATTTCCTTTAGTATATCAAAATTAGAACAAAGGAATAACAAATACATACTACCCTTTTTAATTTCTATGCCAATCTTGAGTTATAACCCCAGTGCCCAATTGTAAAAGGGTCTGTTCGCGAACAACACTGTTTGAATGGTTAAGCCTTGGTAGTCGCTAGTGTGTAAAAAGGCTCGATTTGAGCCGATTTTTAAAAATGGCTAATTAAATATTTTAGCCCGAAAAATATTGTATAGGCCTCAAAATTTCGTTAATAGATGTCCAAATCTTTTTGCCATCTATGAGCAAAATTTTAAGGCCTGCATAATATTTTTAGAGGTAAAATATTGAGTTAACAGTTTTTAAAAATCGGCTTAAATCGAGCCTTTTAACAACAATAGTAGCGGTCTATAAATCTGGTTATAAGCAATTAGAATTAACCTTAATATTTTAATTTCTTCGTATTATTTAGAGAAAATATTTATTCGAGCTTTTCCATGGGGGGGGGGGGGGGTGCTTCATAATAAAAACTTTCATGATTAAAGCAATATTCCTATTTTCCAGCATAACATAAGGATTTTCATGACCTACGCTTCCTGAGAAAGATATCTTACTCTGCTAATATATTTTTTTTATAGGACCTTGCCTTCTACCATATAAAATGGAATCATAGATAAGTTCGCTTCAGCTTGTTTAATTAATTTTAATCCGTCTCTGCTGGCTTTTAAAACTTTTGTTTTAAATCTTTCTATAAAACCTCTTTTAATCTGAAAGTATGCATATTTAAAAACGCCTATTTAACAATCAATTAATATAAAAATTTAGTTTCTTTATCTATTATTTCTTAGAATCTTTTAGATTTCCAAAAAAAAATGTTTTTAAAGTCCAACTTTAACTTAATTTCCAGCAACTAAGTCTGTCTACCGATAAATATAAAATTGTAATTTTCATAAAACTGCATTCCCGATATTACAACTGATGTAATTCATTTAAAATAATGCATTCGCGACAATGCATTTCCGATCATACATTTGCGCTAATACATTTTCTATAATGCATTAGCGTTAATGCATTCGCTATAATATATTCTCTTTAAATTTTAGCGATAGTGCATTCGCGATAATACATTCTCTGTAAAACATTTGCTGGAATTCATTCGCTGTAATACATTCGTGATAATTCATTCGCTGTAATGTATTCGCCATAATAGATTTGCTATAACACCTTCGCGGTATTACATTCGCGCTAATACATTCGCTATAGTATCTTCGCTGTATTATATTCGCTATAAAGCATTCGCGATAATGTATTTGTATTATATTCGCGATAATGCATTCGCGGCAATACATTCGCTATAATATTAGTAAAATTCTTATAAATACTATGCGGAAGGAGAATATCGAGCAGGTTATTCATAAGAATCTCTGGGAAAAAGGATAATTTGATCTATTAACGCAATAGCTTTAAGATGGGGGAAGGGGGTATGTAAGTTAAAAAAAAAATTATTATGGATTACTTCCTTCTATAAAATATAAAATAAAATTTATATCCATACTACCAACTTCCCCCTCTTTCCAATCCAAAATTTAATTTAAATATTGGTTAGAATTATAAATCCTATTTTATATTCTTTCTTGTTATTTTATTTATACCGAGCAATACAATACGTCTCAAAAGAAAAATGATTACTAAATTTTCGGGATTATATCTAAGGATATAAGGTTTGGTAAATGGGTTAAACCTATAAAAACAAGGCACCCAAGCCTAAAAATTAATTTATCAAGAGAAAAATTGATGACATCACTACATACATAGTCGAATAATCGCTGGGCAACCCTCCCCCTTCCTCTAAAGCATAAAGCCCTCCCTCCATAAAATTTTAGCTTCTTCCATCAATTATACTTTAGATATAATTAATTATATTAATTTATAAAAAAGGCTCCTATTTAATCGCGCTTAGAATTAACACTGAACGCTCAGAAAAAATAGTTTTCTTAGAATTATTTTTTAACACTCAGATTAAAAACTTGATGACCCGGGAAAATAATATTAATTGCTCTTATATAAAACTGAAACACTAGATTAAAAAATGAATCGCTCAGAAAATCATCATAGATTTTAAAAATATCAATGAAATTTAGTAAAAATTCTGAGCTTGCTTAAAGTAGTCTTTTTTAATTATGAAAAATTGAAGGCAAAAATCTGAGCGTTTCAGTTTTTACTCTGAGCGAAATATGTGATAAAAAAAATTTTGGATATTATTTATAAATATTAATCAAATGAAGCCAATATTTATCGACTTCATTTCAACAAAACTATTACAAGAATAAAATTCAGGATAGCAATTTTGTATGTGATTATCGTTGGTAAATGGTGATAATCGACTGGTTGCTACTATAGTTGGGTAATGGCTAATTCTACAGGCGTTTTCTAAAAAAAATTCGTTAATATAAAGGCTATTTAATTTATATTAGTTTCTTTCAAATTAGAGCTGCTATATTTTTATAAAAAACCCCGAGGACAATGTCATAGTTTTCGGCAAAAAACTCGGTTTAGCCAGCTAAAAATTGGCCTAAGATAAAAATATAATAATTACTCAACTATAATTGTTACCATATTAAAAAATTTGCAATAAATTTATATTTTTTTTATCAAATATAATTATTCCATGCATTTTTTTTTAAATTTAATACATTAAAACCACAAACGCTATTTGGGGTAACGTTATTACAGATCTCAGTTTTTAAAAAATTTTATACTTCTTGTTTTTTTTTACAAAAAAATCTCCATAAGCACTGATTTGTGCATAACTGTTAACAAGTGCCACAAAGCAAAAGTGATAAGTTAAATCTTAACTCACAAATTTGAGTTTTTAAGTTTATAAACATAAATGCTTCAAAATAATTTGTTAGATTAATTAGAATTTTTCAAATTTAAATATATAAGTTCATTGGCGTAAGCAGCCCCTTTCCTCCAGCCAAAAAATTCAGATGTCGGCTAAAGTATTTTTCAAAAATATTACTGTTTTATGATTAATTTATATTTAATAATAATTAATCCTACCTCTTAGCGCATATATATTCCAATATTAACATTTATTTATTCACAGCAGAAAAACACATGTAAATAATTTATTCTATGAATATATCATTTCTTTGGCGTTATATATCTACCATTTAAAATTTCTTACCCCACAAAATTAAAGCAAAATATTTCAAAAATGTGTCATGGATTTGTTTGAGACACGCAGCTGAAAGCATGATATTGGTTCTTAAGGAAATTAGGGCAAATTGAGTAAAAAGCAGAACTCCATTAATTCAATATTTGTTCTGGCAAGCAAGGCAATCCCATCGTTTCAATATTAATAAGTCAGTCGAAGAATACTATAATATAAATTATAACACGTGAATGAATTTTGATTAATCAGGTAGGCCTTACAATCTAATTTTATTACCACAAAACCGTCCGAATCTATTTCAAATCTTGATGAGAAAAAATAAAACATTGGTAGATTTTTATAGGATGTTAAAGTATTCCATGATACATTACTAGCTGAATGCAAACTATGGTATAAAAGATCAATATGGTTGATAATGTTCCGAAAAATGCTATATACTTCGCATAATTTTTAAACATATTAAAATTTTATATTTTAATAACGCTAACCTTTAGTACTTCTACCAATAAACATTTTCTTATAATAATAATAAAAACATATCTGAGAAGTAGTGTAAATGGCTAGATTTGATTCAATTTAAAAAGAGCTAACTGAATATTTTAGCCAGAAAATTGCCTAAGTCGATTTCGCTAATAGATGTCCAAATCATTGTGCCAACTATGAGCAAAATCTTCAAGCTTGCGTAATATTTTTCTGAATAAAATATGGTTAGCCGTTAAAAATCGGCTCCGAATCGTGTAACAACACTACTGAAGAATTGCCTCTGAGATTAAATTGAATAGTTGTTTAGCCGCTTAATATACTTAGGGATTTGGTACCAAGCACCGATGAAATCATTGAAAAATTAGCTCAATCCCAGAAAAGATTGAATTTCACATTATATATCTATAATACTTCTTAATATTATTTTTTTCCCCATTTTTTATCACTAATTTATATTTGAATTTGCGTATTAGAAATTGTCAATATTTTATAGTCACTACTGAAACTTAGAATTCTTCCTAGAATATTTCTAAAAAATTTTAAAAATATTCCTCCCCCATTGCAAATTCCTACGTACGCGCCTGTAAAAGTGGGGAAATGAAATTAAAATGTAAATTATCTTAGTAATAAAAAATAAAATAAGAGAATGGGTCTTGCCAATAGTGATCTGCATCGGGCCTAATTTTTCAAGCCCGGCCCGGCTCAAACCCGAAATTTTTTTAAAAAAGTTTTGCCGGCCCGAACCAGATTTTTTTTAAAAAAATTTACCGACCCGGCCCGAATTTATTTAAATATAGAAATTAATATTTATAATTACTCAAAATAAAAGACATATGTTATATGTCATTTAGTTTCAATAAATAAAATCAAATATTTTTATTTTACATAAAAAATTCAATATAAAATTGATAAATTTGATATATTTAAAAAAATTTCCAAGGTCCGTCACGATCCGGCCCGAATTTTTTTATAAATATTAGGCCCGGCCCGAACCCGATTATTTTATATAGAATTAGGCCCGAGCCCAGCCCGAAGCTCGTTCGGACCGGGCCTAACTTTGATCTCTACTTGCCAATGCTACGTACGCGCCTGTAAAAGTGGGGAAATGAAATTAAAATGTAAATTATCTTAGATATAAAAAATAAAATAAGAGAATGGGTCTTGCCAATGTGGTTATCAAGAAAATGAAGTAAGGAAAGATGATTGGGAGGGACTAAACTGGTTTTGCCTATTAAACAAATGCAGCAATTCAGCTGAAATCTAATATCGTATTTTATTAAAAATAATATATTATTTGTAATTAAATTAGTGTATCCATTGTCTTCGTAGTTATATTATGTACAAATAATGAAATAATGTCTTCATTTCTTTCTCGGCTTTAATTCCTCAAAAGCGGGATGCATATATATGGCAGGTTTCTTGTCGGGTCGATTAAATTCGTGTCCCTAAATTAATTAAATAATTATATGGAATAATCAAATTTTTAAAAACATCTCAAATAATATAATTTAAAAAAATAATACCAACCCGAGCCAGGCCAAATTTTTAAAAATTTTAAATTATATCAAATAATTAGTTGAGCAATCACATGATGGGTCATTTAATATTTGTTCGTTTCTCATTTTTTAAACCCATTTACAAGCCAAGATGATTTTGGCGAAAATATGAGGTTTTCAACAACACTAGTCATCATCAGGGTGTCGGATCGATAAGTTATACGGTTCAATTTAATTATGGTTCTAGTTTAAAATATTATAACGTTTTGGTTACACTTCGATTAAAATTTGATACTTCTTTTTTTTAACCAAAAAGAAATTAAAGGAGATCAGTTGAATTTATTTATTTTATCATAAAAACATAGCCACATAAAAATTTGAAAATTTGTCTATTTAATGCAATAATTTATAATAAATTAATATAATTTCAAAAATAATTATAAATCGGTTCGAAAGCACGCACAATTCGGTTCGAATTTTAGTTCGGTTTGACACCCTGGTAATGAATGTCGGATCTCGACTTCTGCAGATCTTTGATATATCTATTTTATTATCTTGGCAGATAACATATTGTTGTCGAGATAATAATATTATTATATAACAAGTAAATTAAAAATAACGAATGAATAAAAGCAACTTATAATTAATTTAATATTTTAATAAAAATTGTAAAAAATATTTAAAGAAAGATGTGAGAAATTGGGATTTTCACAACCTTAGACCAATCATAACCGGTAGAATACGCGAATATATGTCCGGAAGGGTTGAAAGCGCAACAGGTAATAGGCATTACCTCACTAGGCGTTGAGGCTATTTCTGATGATTTAAGCTTAGTTCTGGAATCCTTGTCCCAAAAATTGTATCGGCCATCTGAACCAACAGTTGCTAACGTGTTGTGGATGGGATGGAAGGATATATCATTTACCTTTAAGTATCGGTATTTATAAGTTTGTTATGTAATATAAATAAATCTAAAGTGAATTGTAAGATAACATATATTTATCAACAAGATAAAATATTGTTATAAAGCCATAGATAGAAATGCCTAACAGTATAAACGATTTACAAATATAATGTTTTCTTTATGCCAATCTACAAATTTTTTCGGATTGGTTTTGAGTGATATCGAGAAAACTGGATCAGACAGACTTAGATTTCTTTAATTAATAATTATTCGAAAATAATTTCAGGCAATTTCTCATCTTAACCCTTTAATTAATAAACGCTTTATTATGAATCTTTATACAAACGATGAATTTAAGCAAAGAACTGTAAAATACCGGATATATCTCTTGCACCCCATTAACGGTTTCTGTAGACCTGTGGCACTTGAAGGTAAAGTTATCTTTGGGTAAGTTTGTATTTAGAACGTTTATACTAACCCTTCCTTCTATACTGCCTATAGCGAATCCCGCTGGAGGATTAAGTGAAGACGTTTTATCGTAAAAGATGCTAACAGTTCTCAGCTAAAAATATACCAGCAGTTTTAAAAATAAATATATAAAGTATAAAATTAAATTATATAAGGAAAAAAATTAATATGATCTATTCTTAAAATAAAACAATAATTAAGGATATTCTCTTAGAATTAGAATGAAGCAGGTGGCAATTTTTATTTTATTTAAACTTTATTAAAATATGATTAGTTTTAATTTCTTCCCATAAAAATTTAGGGCAGTCGGGAAAATATATTGAATTTGCAAAAACTCATAGTAATACCAAAATTTATAAAAAAATCAAATGATAATAACATTAAATTTGTAGAAATTTTTTTTAATCAACTTGATATTTCAATGTGCACTCGACTTTCCGTACTTCTCTTGGAGTTCCCTCCAAAGAAAACAATACTATATTACGGTTAGCGGTTCCGACAACGGCTACGGGATAAACCTTTTTTATTTAAAAGGATAATAATCTCTGTAAAGATTAGATATTAAAACATCTCAAGTAATGTTAAAGTTATAGAAATGCTAGTTTGTCTTATAATTTCAATTAAGAATAATAATTTTAAAAAAGGTTACGAAAATATATAAGTTAAAACTTATCTAAAATCGTTATAATGTACTATTTTCCAAAATTTGAACACTAATAAATACATAAAAGTGAATATTTAACTTTAAAAAATTGATATATTAAAAATAATCGAAATATTTTTTTTATCTGTAATACAGCATCTGCGCAATAGCATCTTTCAGGTAACTGCAGAGTTAACATTGGATTAGGAGATCTCATGTCCCATAACTGATGAAATAAAATGTATATTAAAAGGAATGAATGTCACATTTTAAGTACATGATATAAGCATAGCTTCTAATGTTGCGAGTACAACAGAGCACCGCTATGTATATCTATTTACAGGCGCGTATGCAGGATTTTTTTTTTGGGGGGGGGGGGTAATTAAATTTTTTTTAAAGATAATATATTGTTATTTAAAAATTCTTCAAGTTTCATATAGAGGACTAATGACTATTTCTAATATATAATTTTAAATTATTGTGAATTATAAAAATAAAACATATTAAATTGGCATATAAAAAACTATAAAATAAATGCTCTAAAATAAAAATATGAAATTTTTTGAGCCTTTAAAATTTATATATTAAATAACTTAAAAAATTTTAATATTGAAAACATAAATTAATACACAAAAAGTTTCTTAAGAATAATTGTAATAAAGTATTCATGAAAAAATATATAACGCATTAAAAAATAAAATTGCACGGAAATTATGAATAAGGAAAATTTTATAAATTTATAAATATAAAATCCAATCCTCGTTGGGATTGAGCTGATTTTTCATTATCTCATTTGTGCTTGGCGTCAAATGTCTATGCATATTCAAAAGAGCCAAACCATTTAATCTACTTTCAGAAGTTGAACTTCTTAGGTATTTTTATTCTCCTTAAAGAAGATAATGTTCTCTCATCAGTTACAGAATTAATGGGATGAGTTGCTAATATAAATACTAATTTTAATATATTGGGAAAATAGTTAAGCAGACGTTTAGATGCAAAGCATCCATAGCATTTTTTGGGACTGTATCAACCATAGTTGGCATTCGGCTAATAAGGCGTCATGGGTAAAATCCTCGTAATTCTTTTTTTCTATCAAGATCTGAAAAAGATTCGGAAGGCTTTGTGGGGTAGTAATATCTGCAGATTAGTAAGTACAACTTGATGAATTAAGAACCTTTCATTCATTTGAGTTATAAATGTATCTAAGAAAGGGATAAACATATTTATTTTATATTACTCTTCTACTGACCCTATATTAATGTATTAATGTTTTGGACGATAATCTTGCCTTGTAGCAACTCTATGGAGACAAGTATTAAACACGTAAAGCTCTGCTTTTGACTTAACAATAATATATAAAATATGAAATTTACATTAACCCTAATTTCCTTGATTTATAATAAAATGCTCTCCACTATTCTCATTGTCTCAATCAAATCAATGTCCTGTTTTTGATAAATATTACATAACTGCATGATTAAATAATTGGTTGTGGCTTGCATATTCCATCCGAGATAATTAATGGAGCATATTGCATGGTATGTCTTGTTTGGCCCAAGATATCTTAACAGTCTTGTTAATACTCCATTTAACAAGTGCAAAGAGCCGGAGGACAATTATCAAAAACTGTGAACTCATAATTCATTCAAAAGAATTAATTCAAAGTGGGAATATAATTCCCTTTTCGTTTATTGATAAAAATAGGATTAAAATAGCCATGAAAATATATGTAAAATTAAAAAATTAACTAAGGCCATTCTGTATTGTGAATTGCAGGGTTTAGAATTTCGTGGCCATAGGAAGCTTGAATTTCGATGATAATAATAATGATTGTATAATTTAAAACATTAAAGAATTCTGCATTAATGGAGAGCCTTAATAGCAGCAATAAAAATGCTACATATCTTTGCCCCAGGTTCAAAATAAAATAATTGATATTAACAATAATATCATTCTAGAAAAATTGATTAATGAAATCAATTCTACCTCTCAATTTTGGGAGATGACACCACAGATATTGCTGGCATTGAGCAGATGTCATTGTGTGCACGATACATTGATACATAAAATAATATTATTAAGGAAATGTTTTTTTAATTTATTCCTGTTTCAAGCATGACTGGGTCTGCCGGATGTAATATTTGAGAATCTTAAAATATTCAAATAATAATTAATCTCATTATCAAATTATTTTTTTGAAAAATATAGTTGAATATAAATTTGATACGTGGGCAAGGGCATGATGGAGCTCGTGTAATGAGTGGGCAACTCAATGTACTCATGCATTTATAAAATGAAAATATCCAACAGCTATATATCTCTACTGTGCTGCTCATTCCCTCAACTTGACAATTTCTAATTCATGTTCTCTACTATTAATATCTAAATTTTTTTATTTATACCAGGCAAAATATCTAGCTTCTATGAGAGCTTAGATTCCCCAAGCTACAAAATACTTTAACAGAATTATTTTTGAAACTCCTTGTCCAACAGGAGAAAGAAATTGAAAAAGCCTGTCCAACAAGATGGAGGTTTCGCTATCAAGGAGTAACAGCTTTTATGGATTAGAAGAGCCTATTATTAATGCTCTTACTGAAATATCACAATGGCCTAAACGAGGTATGATATTTCCTCAGCAAGCAAATTATTGGATTCAATACTTATACCAAATTTTTTCCATTAGAATGTATTAATAAATTATTTAATCATGCAGTTATGTAATATTTTTCAAAAATATAGATTCTAGTCTCTTTAATGGACTATAATATATAAGTATATTATAGGGAAATTTATAAATATAACAAAAAAACTAAAGCAAATATTGCTATTAAATCTGAAAATTAAATAAATAAAATAAAGTATAATGGAATTATGATTTGAGATAATCTGATTTAATTCTTAGTAGTTTTTTAATTGATTTTTTATTTTATAAAAAATTTTTCTTATATATTAAAAATTTTCTATAAGTGCTAGAACCATATGGTCTTCGAATTGTTAGGGAATCGTCAATTAGGTTGTAATCTGAATTCCTGATTATATGGACGAGATGCACCGAGTAATAGGGATTGGAGTATGTTTTGAGGAAATAATTCTAGAATAGACGAAGCCATTTCTATGGCATCTATGACCGTTCGTAGTTATCTGTTTATTTCCCATACGCCTCCTCCGTATAGAAAAATCGTTATAACAGTAAAATAAAATATACGTGGTCTCGCCTAAACGAAAATCTCCTTAGTATCCCATGTTTAGAATATTTATAGTGCTCATATACGAATAAGCAAATCCTATCTAGAGTTACCTATATGTCCAAAGATAAATTTAAAAGTATGGGAATTGATGATGAAGTTATTTAATACTGGTACATGCATTGATGACAATATAACTATTTTTTTCAAAGTAATAATCAGACTAACTTTCGAAATAGATTGTAAGTATCCTCAAACCTTTGCTCCTATAACCAGGTTTAAATTTTCAAAAAAATATATTGTTTAAAAAAAATGTATTTAAAATATAAATACTTTGAAGAATATTATTTGCAGTTATCACTATTAATTTTTTACGATTCTCTTGAGTCTAGAAATCCGACACTTTTACCTCCGGAGAACCGAGATAAGATTTTTCTATCTACATTTAGCCTTTCAGTAGAAGATGCTGCTATTATAAAATTGAGAAAACATAAGAAATAACTAGAAAGCATTTCAAAGCGGCACCTATAACTATCTATCTCATTTCTTCCAATTATAACAAAATATGGCTAACCAAGGTAACTCCAATATTTGAATGATTCATTGTTTTGTAATTTCCCGAAAACTACAAATTTTAACGATCATAGATCTGTAGCTCTTACCTTTATTAGATCAAAAATTTGATTTCTATTGGAAAAATATTCCTGTTCACTCCTCACCTCTTCTCAAAATATATTCGCGCTTATGAGAGAGATATAATGGGACCTATCTTAGCATTAAAAATAATTATTTCGAAATTCTAGATATAAGCTATCTTTGTTTTTTACCTTTATTTACTTCAAGAGAGCTTTCGGAAATATTAGGCATGCGTCTTTGTGGTAAATGTCGGAGTATGGTATTGTCATGAATATCATATGAATCCTTAACAATAATTACATTGATACTGACAATGGAATTGGAAATATATACTGTCATAAAAAGGGATATCTTTCTGGCTTGCCATAACTTTGATATCCAATGTTAACCCCATATATTTTATTTTGGGTATGACCTTTACTACTTGGGAATCAAAAGTAAAAGGTATTATTGTTGGAGCATGTGTAGGTGCAAGAATAACTGTTTCCTCAAAATGCTCAATCCAACTTTATAACTTTATTTTCTCAGTGTTCCTCTTTATTATCACTATGTGATTTGGATGAGAGATAATCATTTGAGCGTTTATTATTAGATTCAAAATCTAATAGATTTTAAGCCCCTAATATATCTTTGAGACTATTTTTTACCATCTGGGGAAAGGGCATAGCTCTGCTTACCTCCTTTTCTAGACCTTAAAGAGGGAATTTATTGTTTATTTCCATACTCATATAATCATGATTTCAGATCATAAACTGGCTCACAATTTGCTGACTGGGCTGCTGGTAAAATTAAGGGAAAGACCTATTATAAGACAATTTGGCTCTATAAAGCAACTAAAATGTGATGAATCTGAATATTAAAATAAAAATTTATAAAATTAAATAATAACCAATTGATAAAATAACTACTAGTTATATCAGATAATCTCAGATATTAATTTCGTCACTTTTTTGATTTTAATTTATCAAAATTATAAGCAATATTTTACACATATATATTATAGTGAGTCTTGTGGATACTAGAATCTTGATATCTTTTTAAGATTAGCTATTTTATTATTACTTAGATACACTTGTTATTTTTTGTAACTTACATTATAACCTTAAATAAAATTTCACTGTATCCTACCCTCATAACCATTTGAGATATTTTATTAATTTACATAACATATATTTTACTTTTAATGTTTTATCCCAGCTGCCAGTAAGAAGAGAAGTGTAATTAGGAGCTTTTATGTAGTGTATTGTCTTTATCGGTGCATCATGCTTTTTTTTAAAAATACAAAGTATTACAAGAATAATTTATGGAAAACATTAAATATATATTATTTCAGAGTTGTTCCAACTTTTATTGCCAATACCAATATGGTATTAATCAGATAACATATATCAAATAAATTAAATTATATGTAAAGTTTATTGTACAAAAAAGCACATAATTCATTAATAGTATCATTTTTAATTTATTTGTAATTAATATATATAGAATTTGTGAGAGTAAAATAATTAGAAGGAAAAATACTAATACACTTTCTTTCCTTTTATATCAGTTTGGAAATGTGTGTATCAATTTTTTTCAAATTAATTCATGGCTAAATATAGGGTAAAGAAAAAAAATTTAATTTATGAGTGTTAATTATCATTTTGTATATCCACTAAAATAGTATATCTTGGTATTTAATATTTATAGTTCAACTTAAATAATAAAATGAATTTAAAGTTATAATGATATTAATATTATTGCCATTTTTTATTAAAAATATGAGTTTTAATCCAAATACTTGAGCCACTTGAATCATTTGATTTGAAGTAAGATCCCACATTCTTGATGTTTTATCACATCCAGCAGTAAAAATTTTTGTTCCATCCTTAATTTTTTTTAAGATACATATTTTACTTACAATATAAATTATAGTACAAAAATTATTATTGAATATATTTCATTTTTTTTTTAAATATAACACTGTCTTTAAATTAATTTTCTAAAAAAATAATATAGAATATCTTTTGTGGTTTACATCACTCCAACAAGCTGAGAGAACAGGGGCATCTAATTTTTGCATAGCTTTAGGTACACAATTTCCTGTTGATTGTAATTCCCATATCCTGACCTTTCAAAAATAATAGTCAATAATGATATGCTATTTAAATTACCGTTTGATCCCAACTAGATGCAAGCATATAATTAAGTTGACTGCCCATACCTCCAGGGCTAATAAATCTTAGGGCAGTCACTGTATCATCAGGAGGCTGAGGAATCTCCAAATCCTTATTAGGATTAGAGGTAACAGTTGGTAATGGAGTTGGTTGAGGCGAAGCGAAGGTGCCTGTGCTACCAAAACCAATATTTGATTGAAAAGAAGGAACTTGTGCTCCAAACATAATATTTTCAATAAAAATTTTAAATTTTAAATACAGGAACGAACGAATAAAGAGTTAAGCCTTTTAAAATTAATAATAAAAAAAATTTGAAATAATAATAATAAATCAAATTTGCTTATATGAACAACTAATGTTGAGCAATATAGCAGATGTTGATATCTTAAATTTTCAGAGATTTTATATATTGTTTCAAAGATAATTATTTAAAATTACCTGTAAATTAACGAACTTTGCATTCAAAAGATACCGATATTTAGAAAAAAATTATATTAGTTAATTTAAATAGTATTTAATTTTAATATACTATTTTATTTTGTTTAATATTTTAAGATAAAATAGGATTGTTAAAAAGCACGATTCGGGCCCATTTTTAAAAACGAACCGATTACCAATTTTCGCCAAAATAATAATATATAACCCTTAAGACCTAGTAATAGAATTCCAAACACCATCTTAGACCTAAATCTCTCGGCTTACATAATGCTGTTTTGGCCAAAATTTTAATTATTTAGTTGTTCTGACTAGTCTTTATGACTTGACTCTAGGACGTGATATAGTTCACCTTTGTTCTTTATTACCTATCTATTTGCCAACCAATGACTTGTTGCGTTATATACTTTTTGTTTTTGAATTCTTTTTGTTTTTGAATTTTTTATAATCTAATTTTTTGTTATTTGTTATAATCTAATTTTATTTTATAAACGGCGTAACCTTACTTTTTTAATATTATTTTACTTTTTTGTATTTCGTTTATATTCTAATTTGGACGTATAAAAAATGTATATAATAGAAGTGTGAAATGGAAAAAATAGTATTAATAGTATTAATAAAGTTAAATATAAATAAACACCTTTTTACCTTTGTGCACATATTCATGTTACTCTACATGGTGCTCCAGTTTTGGCAAAAGAAACTCGCCTCATGGAAATTTTTTTTTAAAAATAAAATTTTTTTCCCTTTGTAAATATGGTTAATAAAAAAAATTATAAAATGGTACAAACAATTCTATATAAGATGGATAAAAAAGGGTAAGTCATTTCAAAATTATTTTCATCAATTATGTTCGCCTTCAAAGTACTAAATGTACCCCATCAAATTTCCATCTACGATATTTTATTTGATTTAACTTATAATTGCGATGTCAACTTTTCTAGGATAAACGGTACGGAGGATGTGCTGTTTGAATTTATGAATTTAAGAGACATGATAAATTGCTTTGAATTATTAAACGGGAAACACTATATTTACAGCGATAGTGATTTCATTGAATTAATTTGTATATTCGTTAAAACATAAATAGTTATACCAAAACTTGAATTAATAAAATAATAAATGTTATAATTGCTTATTTATGTGTCTTATTAATTAAATATGGAAATTAAACAAGAATTTACACATAAGATCCCTAAGTTAGTGGGTCCTCTTACTGAAATTTATTTAGACAGAATATTAAATTACTTTTCGACCAGTACATTATCGGACTCTATTAAAATTAATACTTTGCTTAATAATTTATCAGACGAAGTTTTTGACGACATTAAGGCAATTTGTTCTGATACCGATATTTTAGATCTTAAAATTGTGATTAAAAAGTTAACCTATCTTTTACCAGCGCTAAATTTAAATACTTTAATTAATAAATTTAATCTTCTTCAACAAAACTCATCAGAGAGTTTTATGCTGTGGTACATTAGAGTATCGAAACTTCATAAGAAATGTAATTTTTTGGACGATAGTAGATTAAAAGAGAAATTACGGACATCTACCTTAAACGATAAGATTAAATACAAATTCTCCAAAAATTTTGACCTTACATTGAATCAGATGGTGGAATTAGGGGTGAAATTGGATTCTAGTAATATTAAGTCGGAGGATAATGATATAAGTTATATAAATAAGGATAAAAAGTCCGATAAAGATAAAAATTTTTGCAGTAGAAGTGATAATAATTTTAGAAATAATTTTAGAAATAATTATGATAATAGATATAGAAATGTGAATTACAATAATAATTTTAGATACAATTATGGTAATAATAATTCGCGATACCACGATAATTATAACAATTATAACTATAACAATTATCGCTATAATAATAATAATCAATCGAATTATGGTAGAAATAATACATGGTATGATAATAATCAAAGAAAACAAATCCAATACGGTGACGGAAATCGTAACAATTACCAATCTTATTACAACAATTCAAATAATTATAGAGGTAATGATAATAATCAGAGAAAGCAAATACAATATAACAACAACTCAAATAATTATAGAAGTGGCGACGAAAATAATAGAAAGCAAATACAATACAATAATGATTACAACATGAATATTGAAGAAATTATTGAAGAAAAAGGCGACTCTACAAAGAACAAAGATGATAATGATTTTAATGTCAACAATTTATCTGGCGATATGATTAATGACAAAGATAACGCTTTTATGACTACTTTAAAAGTGAACGACATTGTTACTTGTATGCAAGTGGACACTGGATCCAAATACACTATTATACCTCATGGTCTGGCTAAAAAACTTGGTATTAGAGATCTTAAGAAATCCGAGCTACAACTCACTGCTTATGATGGGAAATTAATCAAAATCATAGGAACTACTCAAGTTAAAGTGACTTATGATGGTATTTCCAAATATTTACAAGTGGTAGTGGTTGAATCAAGTAAAAATGCCTTGTTGGGACGTATGTGGATCAATGCTTTCAAAAATATTTTAAATAAATTTATAGCAAATATTGACACTAATTATGAAGATGAAATAAAAAAATTGATTAAAGAGTGTGAATCGAAATTAACTAATGGGCCAATCAACAAAGCAAGTGTCAAGTTACATTTAAGAAGTGATGCCCAACCTAAAATTATACCGCCTAGACGTATCCCTTATTCAAAAATTGATCTTGTTAGTAATGAACTCAAAAAATGGATACATGATAAAATAATTGAGCCGGTGAATGATGTCCGATGGGCAAGTCCTGTTACCGCTGTCTACAAAGAAGATGGGAGCATTAGGCTTTGCGCTGATTTTAAGGATACTGTAAACCCAGCTCTAGAAGACTTTAGATACCCTCTACCACGAATTAATGATCTAATTGCTAAACTTTCGGAAGGAAAGAAATTTACGAAGATTGACTTTAAAAATGCTTTCTTACAGATTCCAATTGATAAAAGTTGCAGAAATATTTTAACCATATCTACGCATAAGGGATATTACCAATTTACTAGACTTCCTTTTGGGCTTAAGACCTCATCTGCAATTTTTCAACAGATTATGGATCAAATCTTCGGTGACATGGATGACGTTATATTTTATATTGATGATTTACTTATAACTGGAAAAAACGATGAAGCCCACCTAAACAACATAAAAAAAGTATTTGATAGGATATCATCGTATGGGCTAATACCTAACTTTAATAAAAGTGCGTTCTTTAAAAACAAAGTGAGGTTCCTGGGTCATAATATTGACGCTAAGGGGATTCATGCTAATCACGACAAAATTGAAGCAATAATTAATATGCCAGAACCAAAATCAGCTGCTGAATTATCAACATTTCTGGGAATGGCTGGCTACTATAGAAAATTTTTGAACAATTTTGCGGAAATTGCCGATCCTCTTTATAAGATTGTCAATAAAGAAAAATGGGCTTGGAACCTAGAACACTCTAAAAGTTTTAATGATCTAAAGAAGTTAATTAGTCTTCCACCTGCTTTGACATATTTTAACCCTGAATTACCTATAGGGATAGCCACTGACGCATCAAAATGTGGTTTAGGAGCTGTACTATTTTATATTGAAAAAGATGGTAAAGAAAAACCTATAGCTTTCGCGTTGAGAACTTTATTAAAGTCTGAAATGAACTATACCAATATTGAGCGTGAGGCTCTCGCTATAATGTTCGCTATAAAGAGATTTCAGGAATATTTAATTGGCACAAAATTTACAATTATTACTGACCATAAGCCTCTAGTTCACATCTTCACCAAGGGTCTTAAGGATAATAGCACCATGTCGTTAAGACTCCAGAAGTGGAATATTACATTAGGAGGATATGATTTTAATATAAAGTATAAAGCCGGTAAATATAATGTTGTTCCTGATTGCCTTTCAAGATTACCACAAGAATGTCGTGATGAAACTATTGAAGATGTAACCATAATAAATGAATATGAGGATTTACCTATTAACTTTGATCAAATTCGTGATGAAACTTTGAAAGATACGGAATTAAAACAAGTCATAAATGATATTAATAACAACAGACCTATAATGAATAATATTTATAAAAACATTGAATTGGAATTAAGTATAATTAAGGATTGTCTTTACAAAAGCAATAAAATCATAATTCCGTCTTCTATGAGAAAAACTATATTACAGTCATTACATGAAGGTCACTTGGGAGCAGGAAAAATCAAATCCTTAGCCAAAGATTACATGTGGTGGCCTGGTATAAATAATGATATCGTTATGGAAGTGAAAAGTTGTGACGATTGTAATATATATCACGATAATCCTATAAAGATACAAAAACCATGGGTTTCGGCAACCAAACCGTTTGAAAGGATACATATAGATTATGCGGGTCCGTTTTTCACAAAAAATTGGTTGATAATAGTCGATGCCTACAGCAAATTTCCTATTATTATTCCTGTTAAAAATATTACGACTGATGTTACTTTAAAAGAAATCTTTAAAACTATTTCGCTATACGGAATACCTGAAACTATAGTTACTGATAACGGCACTAACTTTACGAGTAACGATTTTGAAAAATTTTGCAACAATTTTGGTATTAAACATGTGCTTACATCTGCTTATCACCAGCAATCCAATGGCCAGGTTAAACGCATGGTTAGAACGTTCAAAACACATATGAAAAGGAATATTAAAATAGACCCAGATATCGCACTTAGCAAATTTTTACTTAATTACAGAAATACGAGTAATGATACTACAGGAGTTACACCATCACAGAGAATGTTTAATCGAGATATTAGAATTAAATGGGACTTATTA